AAATTAGATTGGTAGTGAGGTGTTGGGGTGGAGGCGGGATGCTGGAAAACCTTTCGTGGAACTGAGGTAAGTTGGCTGTATGTATATATACATCCACGTATGTGCTTGTTAAGGTGATTAGCTGACAAGCTCCACCTGGGCCAGACTGATTGATTATCTGATCGTGCTCCTCCCGAACCTTGTTAATAAAACATCATCGAACAAAAAATGCTCCAAACGTTTTTCTAAATTAACTTTATATTTTGTTTCTTTTTTTTTATAAACACTCTCCCATTATATACAAAACTGAACTATTTTAATAGCTGAAACAGTAGTATAAGCTGTTTTGAGAGAAGGAAAAAAAAAGATGGGCTTGGGCCGAGAATTCTGATGAGCTGTCAGACAAGGCAACATCATATGCTAGGGCCGATATTTGAGGCCGGTACAGGGCTCTAGTCCACTTCATCCAATTTTTGCAGATTCTGCAAGGTGTATGTAAACTTTTGACTTCAACTGTGTATATAATTAGTGTGTATGTCTACTCTACAGTAGATCAGACATCAGTCGGGGTCTCAGGAGGATGTATTCATCTTTGATCAATAAGACATCTCTGTAAATGCAAATAAAACTGATGTTCTTTATTTCAATCAAGGTTTTATGCACAAATCGGCTCCTATGAAAACTGAACATGTTTATATTTTATAACCTCATTAAACATCTAGAAAAACTCACAGATTGTAGCAGTTCATGAGAACATATTGAAAGTTTTTACCTTAAATGTAAGAGCAACTGTCCACTGTAAAGACTCCTGGAATTTTAATGTTAAACTTCAAAGTAGCTATTAACTAAAATAGGTTAATTTATGTTGAACTATTTTACTATTGAATAAATTAATAAAAAACTAAATATTGTCTTAGTGTTTTTAAACCTGTACCTGTAATGACAACTCCCAATATTTATAATTTTTGGCAGACAACTTTTTAAAAATTGTTGTATAGTATGTAGTTTAATATTCCTGACATAAATGTTCTCAATATGGCAGTATGTAAATTTTTGAAAATTGTAACCTTTGTTGGAAAAGTAAATAAATTATTTAATTGTTTAGTTGTTATATATAACACTGTGAACATTGTATAATACTATAAACAATAAAAACGTGTACAGTATGTCTGCTCTTTGATAGTAAAACACATACTCAAGCACAGGATTCAGAAAAAAAAAATATTTTAGTGTTGTTTTAGGTGAACAATATCTATATGTATTGCCAATAACGTTTATTTACATTCTTTCCGCAGCAGGATGTTTCTTTACAT